GTTTAAAGTTATAGCCCAAGACTTGCCACCAGCTGCCTTACCTATTGTACTATTTCATCTATTCTAATCCACTTCCACAGAATTACAGAGGATTTCCCTCACCCCCCTCAAGAATTAAGCTGAATCAAGTAACAAGCAAGACAAGTTTTCTGTCTTCAGTCTTTCAGTTAATCACTCCTTTCTAGAAAGAAAACACTTTCCTATCACCGTAACCATTATCCTTTTGATGATAGTGGACATAGTTTCTTTCAACCCTAGACTGCTGAAACGTAATTATATAGGTGATATACCACTGACTCCTTTCATAGCCAATGGAAGAAAAAAGGCATTTGGTTGCCTTCCCCTCTCAGGCACCTATTTCAGAAGGCACTGACCTCCTGGAAGTGCTTGCTCCTTCAAAAAACAAGTGCGGTTACCTTAAGTGGACACAGTTAACTTAAATTAGATCAGATTAATCATATCCTGCGTACAGTGATGAGTTTCTAGAATCTTCAGGCTAAATAGGTATTCTTCTAACAAAGACAGCAAGACAGTAAGAAGCAACAAAAACAGTTAAATGTATCATTTATCAGGTAGAACACATAAACCACACTCCCCTACACCAGTCTATTCTGCCCTTAGAACATCCAAATCCTCTCCATTTCTTATAAGATACATAACACAGGATATGCAATATGGAATGTTGTATATTTTATAATAAATAAAGTATATATTTTTTGTGATAAAAATAGGTTTAATTGACATAACATTACTTTGGATTTAAACAACTGTTCCGCAATTTCCATTTGGAAGAGAATGAATTATACCCACACCAAAACCAGGATATACCCCAAAAATAGTTTCAAAATTTGTGTGAAGAGAAAGGTAACCATGTCTATAACTCAGTTTCATATACTTCAATTACACAAACAATAAAAGCAAATAATTAGGCTTCCCAAAACAGATGGTTTGTACATTCATATCTCATTGACCCATAACTGTGAACATTTAAATTGCAGACAAAAGATTGATCTTCAATTGCAATAAACACTGTGATGAAACCAAGTTTATGTAGTTTACTCATTCAATTCTATTACACGGAGAATGAGTTATGAAAATAATCGTAGACAAAACTGAGTGGACTATCATGTGTTCTACATGAACTGCATGTACAACATCTCACACAAATCAATTTTCTAATTAAATTTTATATAAGGGTGAACCACCATACTCTCTTTGAAGTCTGGGACTTGACTGTTACAATGTCAGTTGCTACTGCTTGTACCATCACAATATTCAAGCTGCAGTTCTCAATTTTGCAAAAGCTTGAATCCACTTTAGATGTAGCAATTTTCAAGAAGATAGTGACAGAAATGTAATTACCCACCTGTCCCTGATAGAATTCATTAGAGGTTTTAACACATGCCAGAGGACATCCAATTACATGAGTTAAAAAAGTCAAGAATTAATTTTCCTGAAGAGATCAGGCTGGCTTGAAAGCAACCAAGCTTTCTGCCACTTTTGTAGCCCTGAGAACAGAGCCAGTAATATGTGGGATCAAGTTCATTAGCCAAAGTAGCACCAGTAATTGCTGAGATCAAACATAATTGCCAGCCAAAGGCCAACCTGAACAAATCAGAGATCTCACAGAAAGCCTGAGGACCCTGAACCTCAGCAAGAGACAGCCTGATGCAGAACATGACCTGGAGGAGACAACAGGATTCTTACTTCGTCTTCCCCCGACACACGGGGTACACATGTGCCCAATGTGCAGAGTATTGGTGTTCTTCACATGTAAGAGAGAGACAGAGATTGTTATAAATATTAAGCTTCAAACTGATAGGCTGAACTCCACGTCCAAATTTGTCACCCTTGACTGTTGTATTTGTCCAGATAAGCTTATCTAGCATGCTTCAGTTTGTGCCGTACAAGAGAAAAATAAAAGAGTTTCTTCATTTCAAATTTTCAAAAGGATTAGTAGGTTTTACAGGTACCTTAAATATATTGTAATTAAGTATTTTTTGTAAGTAAGATTTCCAATCTCTATTCAAAGAAATGTATTTAGAACTCAGCCTGAAACAAAGACAAGCCTCATTACTTGATACTCACATAGTTGGGGGATAAAATTTGTTTTTCCAGTACATTCCAGTATCCGGAAACGTTAATACACTGATTATGAGGAATGCAACTGACAGCATGCTGATTACTTGCAAATCAGCGTGAGCAGGTTTCATGGTTAAAATCCTTAAAATGGTTTTCTTACTGGGTTGTTTGCCTTATACGTTATGCCTATCAACTCTAAAGAGTTACAGACTGGAGGAAAAATTCCAATTGTGATGCCCAATTCAAGAAATTGGACTTGATATCCAGTATAAAATGTAAGTCTCCATGCTGTATAAAAAATCAGATCCCCTTAAAATGTTTCTTGTAGTACATATTACACAGTGTTAAAAAGATGTTATATAGTGCATCCAAAATTTTTCAGGCCAATTGTAACACTTCAGATTCATGACACTTACTCGTAGGCTATATAGCATGCAGATCACTACAGAAGACAGTAACACGAAAAGTATCAATATCCTTGATCCTTTTGCAAATAGTATAAACCAAACAAAACAGCCCTTAGCCCACATTTTGACAACAGGTTTTTACTGAAGACCTGACATTTCTGTAGAATAAGGAGTTACAATACCTGTAACTTTTCCTTAATTAAAAGAATAATTGCAGATGGCTTCTACTTGCATAACTATGTCAGTACATTCACTGATTTAATCAATCTACTTTGCTTATACGAGAGCATGTATTAAAAAAAAATAGTCTCCAATGAAGCTTCTGTAACTGTAATTTCTTTACTGAAAATATAAATCACACTTTCCTAGTAGGAGATTTCATCAGTTGGGAAAGGTCTAAAGAAAATAGAATTAACACCACTACCATTTCTGGAAAAATGTGAGTGTTTCCTTAAAACAGGAAGTTAACAGTAGTAAAGAAACCACGGGTTCATCATCGTAAATAACACACCACCGTTCTGAATTAAAAGTGCTGCCACTAGATCACATTCCCCAAAAGAGTTCAAAGCCAGTCTCTTAAGTAACTTAAATTGTTGTGTTTGAAGTGTAGACATGCAAATCTTATGATCATCATCTCTTTTACGTTTCTTTTACACCTCTCACTTACATTTCCTATCAGGCACTAATAGAAGAAGGTTTCCACCCAAAAAGAAACTGCTTTGGCCACAAATGAGTAAAGCTATGAGAAGAATTTCAGTAAGTGCTGTCTAACACTTCTTAGTGGCTACTTATTTTGAGCCATTTAAATTCATGAGGAGTATTTCCTAAATTTACTCTCCATTCACTCTACTATCTATTACAAAAGTCACCTGGCTAGTGAAGTACCTGACAGAGTTTTATGCAAACAGGAGTAAAATAAATTATTAATTGTATGTTGAATATGGGAAATAGAAAGACTTCTCTCACAGATTAAGTCTGAAAAGCACTGTAGGGAGCAGTCTGACTTTCCAAGATTACGCTCTATATTCCATTTCTATTCTGGAAATGATGGACAGATCAGAAAAGCCAATGCTGGACAGATCAGGACTGAAAAACATAAATTTTTCATATGATATTGATTCTCTTTTTATACCATCTCTTTTTAATATCCTACAGCAACAAACATGACCATCTTTGCAAGATTACATTCTCCATCTCATAGCCCAAATATCAACACAAAAAATTGAAAAACATCTACTGCTTCACGAGGCAAAAAGATCAACTGCAAAAAGATACAGGAAAGTTTTGGGGCAGCAGCCAGTATAATGATTAATTTCTACAGCACAAGTCTGAGTGATTCTTTCTCTCCTTGTTGGGTAGTGGACTGAAATGGAAGCTTTGCTTTCTGTTCTAAGGCTCAATATGTCATCATCAGATATAAATTCTTTTAATGCTCTAAGCATACAATTCAGTCAACATCCAGGCTACTAAATTTATGAAGAATATTTCATTGAGAAAAAAAAAATGGGGCATAACATCCGAATACAGAGGTACTTACTTCGAATTTGTCTCTTAATTTCCTTTGAAGAATCTAGCCAGTTCTGAAAAAAAATAAACAGTATTTAAAATAATTTCAGACTGAGGATGGTAATTTCATACAGTGCAGTTAAAGTCTGTATTGTTCAGACATCTGTTCTACTTTAAAATAACCCAGAGAATTTTAAAATTGAACATGTGATTTGCTAGCAAGTCTCTCCACCCATGCACATAAGTGAAACTGTGTAGGGCAATTGCCTTCATGGCTGTCTCATTGCTTTAGACTATTTATGCCCTGTAATTTTGAAAAGTGGATAGTCTTACAGTGGAGGTGGTCTAGCAAATTACATTTGACAAACACAATTCTCTCATATTCCTTTTATTGACATAAACAGACTTTTCAGGTACGGCTGTGTAATCTCTACCCGTCTGTGCTTACACACCCACACAGAGTTTCTTAAGATGATATTTCTCTTGAACTCCAGAGACTTACTATTCTCATCATCTGTCTTAAAGCGTATACATTTTAGTCCTGTTAACATTCAAAGGTGCTTGGAAAGACCTAATCAAATTTCATGCTTTTTTTCTGACCTCCCCAAAGCAAAGTTCTCTACAAACATGTATTATGTTAACACTGATACATGGGCAAGGGTTAAATTTAGATACTCAGCTCTATTTTAGGCAATGCAAAAAGTCAGTTTTTCATATATAGATGCCTCACTATTAAATGTGTTCTATCCTCAACATCAAAAATATTTTTATATAATCTATTCAACCTATGAAATAGCCCAATAACATTTCAGTTACTATTGGTATGTACAAAGAGACTTTTTTGTGATTGATCATCCAAAAATATAACTTTGGGAAGTGAAACTAAGAAATCAGTAATATATATTAATCAGTAACTCAGACAACCCTGTTTACTAACTTCACCAATAGATGTTAAAAAACAGATTGAGTGAGAGACTAAAAACATAAGTCTTTTAACTGCACTTTCTGAGAATTTACTTTATACAGTGTTTGAACCTTTATTTCCTACGGCCAGACACATGTACACAAGCATATACATGGAGTAAACACACATGCACACAACCAGGACTTGGCACGTTTCAAAGACAGGGGTGTGCAAAGTAGGGAAGAATTAGCAACTGACATGTAAGGTCAAGGACAACATTTGCTTTTCCACAAACCACTGCACATATTAGCAGCTTTACAGTCAGAGGGGCCCTCAGTGCCAGCACAAATGCTGCTAAAGGCATATCTCTACCTACGTTTCTTGCCTAACTTAGCCAAGAAGTGGATACTGGGTATAATGTGACTCACCTTTCAGTCCATGGTACCAAACCCCAGACGCAAGAATTGTTTTCCAATACCATATCCCTCAGTCTTTATTACAGGCTTTTCCACCCAAAGCCAAATGTACTTCAAGGAGACAAAACATGCCAGGCTACAGTTTTATGGGTCTGTATCGATTAGGAGAATGTGGAACTGTATGTTTTTGCACTAGTGCAAATCCTTAATGTTGTTATAGGAGTCACTTCCTAGTCCAAACAGAACCCATTGTACAGTGTTAGTAAAAAGCCTTCGGCCACAAGCTGTGATCTTTCATCTAGATACTGATGAACTTACACTAAACTCTTAGTTACGTGAGGGGAGGCTCCATAACTGGTGTAAATTAGAAAGATAAGAGAGCCACATCCATCAGCAGAAGTTGCCTCCTCGAGAAAAGAAAAAGAACGGCCCACCTGGAGACAGTGAAAGGATCCAATGAGGAACAAGGAGACCCCAGACCCAAATACTGTTATTGAACCGAACTGTCTCACGAGGGGAGGGGATCTTAGATTGTAAAGGTATAATTGCCCAGAGATTCTTTTGTTCAGGGTCCCTCTCCAGAGGCACCCAGCTTGAGCTGTTCTACACTGCTGTATCACCTAATAAATTCGTCTGGCGTTCGTTATGTTGGAGATTCTGCTTCGGTAAACCCAAGGCCAAGCCTGAGGGAAGAGGAAGTGCCCAAGAGTGAGTGTGTGTGTGTGAGGAGTGGAAAGGGGCACCCATCGGCTCACTGGAGTCGCCCGCTGCGAAGGGGCTCCGGTCCTAGCAGTTAAAGTCTCAGGCGGTGTGTGTGCGGCTCCTTGATCAGCGTGAGAATGCTCAGGCAGCGGCTTCTCCCTTAACAACGTCGATCACCTTTGCTGATAAAGGATATGGCTTCTATGAATATGACCCAAAATACTAAGTTCCATATCGTAATTGACCTTGACCCAAGCTGACTTCATCACAAATGCAGCATGTATGTACTAGACAAATACTGTTTACAAATTAAATGCAAAACTCCTTTTCTATCATTTTTATAGAAGTAATGAATAAAAAAGAGTAATTTTACATTTCGTGCTTTAAGAAGTCTGCAACCTCTGCATTTCTACATACATTACTTCAAAAAGTCTGGATAACATTTATTCTGTTTAAGTCGGAAAAACTGCCATCTGTTGGAAGAGCCTTGACACGGAAAGGCCTTGGAAGACAACAGAGTCTTAAAATAATTTTAACTGAGACTCACTTCAGCTACAGTTATCATCTTAGGTTTTCAGTTTTGGCATGAATTCCATTCCAAAATGATACACAACCATATTATTCCAATTACAGATATAACTAGAAGTACCTTAAAGTCTTAAATTTTAGATAAAGTGTAGTATAAAGTGAGTAAGTATAGAATATAGCATGGCATAACTACAGCAGAAAACTAGGGGGTTTGAGGATGTTACTTTCAGTGCTTTATTTTTTATCCTTATAATGTAGGAGAAAAGAACATACAATACAGCATAAGCTGCAAGATGAGAAGAATAACCTTTTCTTTACAGAAGCTATACAGTTCATTTTCTGATTTTCCAAATCTGGAGTAAGCTTATTGGAAGCAGACTTTGCTTCCTATAACTTCCATTAGTGTTCTGTCAAATAAAATCAGATGCATTTATATGCATAATTACAGGGGTGAGGGGATTTTGCACATGTGCTTTTGTTATGAATAAAACAAACACTATTGAAAGAAACTAGCCTGAAATAGACCTCTTACTGCAGAATAGACAGGTCTGTCTTTCAAAACAAAAGACAAAGTGTATACACACTACTTTGCTCTAGTAGGCAGAAATGTATTTGTTTAATTTGTGAATGGTAAGGTTATAGATGAGACAAAGTAACGAATTGTCAAAGAACAATAAAATGTTCTCTACCAGTACAAAAGTATTTTGTACAAATCCAGAAAAGCAACATTTCCAGCTGGTGCCCAGCAGAAGCTTTCTAACACTTCTGGAGATCAATTACAGTGCAAATGGAGCATTCATGAACTTTTGAGGGTGTAATGCAATAAAATCACGAACTAAACTTTAGACCAATGGATTTAACATTTGCAAAACCACGAAAGAAATCATTAATGAGTAATTTGACCTAAATAGTTTTAAAATGTGTATTAAAGCTAACAAAAATCAGTCTGATTTGAAGACATAATGTCTCTCCCAGCTGCACAGAACACCCATAGAGAAAAGTTAATGGGACTCTTCCTCCAATGGTACCCCGATGGTGCTTTAGGGAGCAGCTCTAATTCAAAAGTGCCTGGCGTTCAGTTTCCACACCCCACAGCTGCCTTTTGACTTCAACAGCTGGCTCATAAATGGGTGGCTGTGATGAGTGCACAAGAATGAGAAAAACACATCATTCAGCATTTAGTACTGACTAGCCTGGAGGTCAGAGATTTGTGGCATTTTAATCTGACCAGGCAACAACCATAACAGAAGAAAAAGTGCATCAGAAAGAACTGATACTGAGATGCAAAAAGAATTTGAACTTAACTACAGAGGTGTACAAAAGAGAAGGCCCTAAACCCAGTAAAAGTTCCAAGTCCCCAAGCTTTCTCTGGCAGCTATTGCTGAACACAACTGATCAGCCCCCCACACTTCCATCTATTAATTAAATCAAAACATAAAATACTGAATGTTTGGGCTTTTTTAAAAGAATGAAAAAAAGTTGAGACACTTAAAAGTCTTAAGAGAGAAGCATTCATCAAAAACAAGTTGAGACACTTAAAAGTCCCAAGACAGAAGCATTCATCAAAAACATACCACAAATATTTCACATACTGAAAACAATTTAAATTATCTTCATCCATGTATCAAAAAAAAATGGTAAAAATGAGTGCTCCAATCTTACTAGGCACATTTTGTGTAATCATACAACTTCAAACTTACCAGCATGAAAGAAATGGCAGCTGGGGAGGGGGAACTTTCTCAGTACACAACCAGTAATTTTGCCATACTAAGACACCACAGTAGCTACACTTCACATTATCAGGATACGTTTATGCCATAACTGGTGTAAGAACTTCCAAACATGGTGCTGTACAAAAGCGTTAGCTTTGAATTAGGTAACTTGAGTGACAAGAGCAGTAAAAATAAGCAAGCCTATATAAATGTGAATGTTACAGTACAGACTGTCCAACCTGTAAAAGACTGTAAGCACTTATTTAAGTGACTAGTTCATGACAAAGCCCATGTTTTCAAATTCTTCTTTGGAAAGCTGGGTATTCCCACTCATCTGGCAATCACAGCTTAGAGCTGCACCAGGAAGGCATAGTACCAACCATATAATGGCACTTTGAGTACAATCTAGAGCCTATGGGCTACCCAGCCAGGAAACACCTAAAATAAACCCCTCCTTCACTGTGACTCACTGGCATTCAAAATCCCGTAGTTCCTGCAGTTCACCATAAATTAAGCTTAATCCTGCAATAGAAAGTAGGAAGTGGGAAATGCAAATCTGCGGGGGAAGACTAATTTTTCAGTTTCTCCAAATAACGCTATGGACTTACTTGTATGAAGAAGAGAAAATCCGACAACTGAGTTTTTTTAGCATTCATAACACATTGGACCAGATTCTTCCAGAAGTTTTTAAATAAAACCCTGCTGCTGTGCATAATTCAGGTCACAAGTGGTCTACTCTTCTTTTGAATAGAGTGCTAGACTTAGTCTGGGCATATAAATAATCAAACCACAGGAATCCCATTATTCAAATATTTCTCAATTTATGTAAATACCTCATTTATGAGTGTTGCTACAGTAGCACCTCCATAGTCAATGGATAGGGAGCTCAGACACTCATTTAGGCTGAAAGGGATCTCTGTCAATATCTGGTCTAACTGTGATTAAAGGCAGAGCCAGCTTTGAACTAGATCAGGTTGCCCAGGCTCATATCCCATCAAATTTTTAGTATCTCCAAGCATAAAGACATAGGAAAAAACAGATGGGCTCTTTTTAAAGTGTGGTATTCTGTTCCTCCATTCACATGACTGAGGAATACCAAGAAATCTCTTAGTCCAACTAGAAGCTCATTAGAAAAGAAAAAAAAATGAAAAAAACCCCAAAACATAGCTCTATACCAACCATAGAACCATAGAATCATAGAAACTTTGGGTTGGAAGGGACCTTTAAAGGCCATCTAGTCCAACTTCCCTGCAGTGAGCAGGGACAGCTTCAAATAGACCAAGTTGCTCAGAGCTTCATCCAGCCTGACCTGGAAAGTTTCCAGGGATGGGGCATCTACCACCTCTCTGGGCAACCTGTTTCAGTGTTTCACCACCCTCATTGTGAAAAGTTTCTTCCTTATATCATAGTCCTTTTCAATGCTGGGAAAAGTTAAATTGGATTTTGGTGATTAATGGAATGCATACCACTGACTGATTCAAGATTTTTCTCAGCTCAGCTCTCTAGGTGTGCTCAACCACCCCAACATGTAAGCAAATGCAAGAGTCAACTGAAGAGAAGTTACCAAAAGGTACTTAAGAGATCCTATTTGAATACAGTCATATTAAAACACCTCTTAATTTCTAAAACTAGCATCCAGTACTGGTGATGGGCTAGCTCCAGTCTCATCTTTACAAATCCCAAAATTTTCTTTAAGCTTAAAATTAATAAAAAAGGAACTCAAAGTCCTAACAGTTACAGACTTAGGAGCAAGATTTCCTTCATATTCCTGTTCAAAGCATTATTAAACACACATGAGAAAAGGCAGCAAAATTATTGGAAAGTCAGGTAAAAGATTTTTTTTTTATCATGTAAAGTTTTGTTTGCTTGTTTTAAAAAACAATGTAAATAATTAAAAGTATTCAGAAATTTGGGGAGTTTTCAGATCGTTAAGGCAAAGATATTAGTTAAAATTTCCTATCTTCACTTTCAGGTATGGCATTCTGTTTTACTATGCTATTTTACTGTTTTACTATAAAGTCTAGCAATTACTTAATTGTTTTTTTCAAAAATGTAGATATTTTAAATATTCCCCCACTCTGAAAAATAAATGGCCACTTTGTTAGATATCAGCATACACATCAGTATCTTGCACATGTTCCAAGTTTACAACAGACTAGAATTGACATTTTGCAACAGTTTACTCAAATGCTTGTAATGGTATACATTTAATACAATATACCTCACTGAACTATTGAATATAGTAGCAACACAGAAAAACAAACAAAACTCTCATACAGGCTTACCTTCTGTTCTGAATTCTCATAAAACAACAGTCCAAAATAGTCCTTTTCCAGTAAATTGAGATGTTCACACACTTTGTCAAACAGCACTTGGCCTTTTGCTCTTTTCTGAAGGAAAAAAAAGAAGAAAAAGTACTATCAGTAAACAGTGAGATCCTTAATTACAGGATTAATGTAATGTACTGTAATTCAGTGGTATTAATCAGGAAAATTCAAAATATCAATAAAATAGATGATAAAGCTGTAGCCTTCTTATGATACAATGTTTCAATTTCAGTAGAAATTTTTCAATTCATCAAAAAGATTTACCAGAATGCACAAGCAAAATTCAGTACCTAAACTGATCTAAATATTTTGCATCATTAAGTGCCACTAAATAGCTCTTAAATTTGTTTTTCTGAGTCTTAATTTTTAAAATAACCAGACACTTCTTCATGTGAGCCAACTTCTTCTACATTAATATCTTCTAAAAGTTAATGTACTTCTTACAGTGTTAATTTCTGTTAACTTCCGCATTTCAAGGATTTTGGCATACATCTCAATACTAGATATGAAGTCCCAAGAAAAATAAAACACATTATCATCTTCAAGAGACAAAAAGAACAGGCAGACCACTAAAAGTCGGTGATCAGACGAGTAGAAGTAGCAGACACGTGTAAACAGAGCGTAAGCAACGTGTCTAGCTGTCTATACTGCAGGGGTTTGGAGGGGCAGAAAGTAAGAGGAGAGGGCTTCCTTCTACCTCTATGAACTCTGTATGAATGCTGTATGCATTTATGAACTCTCTCACTACCCAAAAAATCCACTGGATATTCAAAAATAAAAGAACAGTCTTCAAGAAGTTTATTTTTCCTAAAAAAAAAATTAGTGGAAGTCAGTAACAACAACAACAAAGATCACATTTTTATTTGAGGGTAGTTTCAACATGATAGTCTGCTACTTTATAGTAGTAATCGAAGATCGATCGTCATTTTAACACACTCCTAAAAAGGCTCAGTATTACTACAGCTTAAGCAAATGGCAATTAGTCCTGAAGTTTTTTCTGTTCTTCTTGCACCTGGAACCGGGAACGTAAAAAAGGGCATCCCGTATCTTCCTAGCGCTGGTAATGAAAAGCAGGCCCAGGCCTGCTTCTGTGCGCCAGGTTTTAGGGAAAAGATTAGTTGTACTGGAGATGGCAGCTGACAGGAGGCAAAGTTTTACAGCAGACGGCTCACAACACGTACTCAGGGGTGGGGAAGGCGAGAATTTCTTTCCACAGTTAAAATTTGAACACGAATGGCATGCAGTCTCCCATTTTGAACCAACTCCTTCATGACTGTTCTGCTACTTCTGGCATTTATCAGTGAGGCCACAACATGGCATTTTCAGAGGCCTGGCAGCTTAAAGGAATTTTTGCATTTGCTTATCCTACAGATTTCAGTAGATGCCATACGCCACTGCAATTCCACAGAAACGCCATCGACTGCCCCTGTGTCGGCCCTCGCGACACTGCAGCCATTGTCCCCGCAGACAGCGGCCGGGCGCTCGCAATATGCCCCAGCTCGGCGCTCGCCGGCAGCTCAGCTCCGCGGCACAAAACGTTAAGGCCGGGAGGGGAGGGAGGGGGCAGAAAAGAAGGTATGCACTGAGCAAATAGGAAAGGCATTGTTGTTTTATTCCCCAAGAATCCAAAGCTTTATTTATTCAAGATTGCGTTGTTCAGCAAACATACAAGTCCCGAAAGATCAGAAAATTAAAAAAAAAAAAAAAACCCACAAAAAATGCTTATAAAATGAGAATATTTAGTAGCACAAGCATCACCGCGAGGCAGTGGAACTGAGAAGTCAGGGTCATTTTAGAAATAGGGAGCTGGGAATCTTAAGTCTGTTTGGTACTTTCAAAAATGTTACTCTTCAGACAGACGGACTATGATTTCCCCTAGCAGTCTGAAGTAACCACTTAGTTTTCTTGACAGCCTCACCTGTAGCTTAATAAAAAAACCAGCAATATAGAGAAGAGCTAAATCGAAAGCAGGAAAAGTATAAGCAACAGAGGGTTTGAAGGATCTTAGCCCGCTCTCATGCATGTAATAGATATTTTTCTCCCTAAATCATTGTGCATATCAGTGATCACATCTTGCAACGGCAAGTTCCAGGTATACATACTTCAGCAGAGGAAATCTATGGATTAATGCAGAAATAATATATGCTATCATTAAGTCCATATCTGGAGTCAGTTGCTCATTATGTAGCTTTTCATAAAGTTTATAAACTAAACCCCACGGTTAATATCAAGTCTTTGGCATACAGAAACATAAAGCAGACAAATTTACAGGAAATACATTGCAAGTATGTAAAATATTACACAGTTTCTTCTTAGGAAGTCATAGTCAACACAGAATTTGGATACACTGGCAACGTCCACTGTATCTTTAAAGATCTTCTTCTAAGTTTATAGCTCTTTCACATAAGGAAAAACACCACCATGCCAGGAAGGCCAAATTATGTTAGTCTACATTCTAGACAGCAGCATGGCACAAAGAAGTTACAGCATCAGAAAGTGACATTTATAGAGGTCTGTTGTGGATTCAAAAGCATAAGAAGCCTCTTGGTATCAGCAACAGTCCTCATTATTAAAACCTATTTGCAATATTAAAAGACTCCTAGTTCTTTACTTTTTTATATATATTGTAATATAGTTCTTAAAATCTGCAAACGTATTTAATTTGTAAAGCCAAACTTTTCAAGTGCAATTTATTTGTAATCCCTTTGTAATCCCCTACTATACAGCTTAAATTATATGATAACATATAATTTTTCTGGAAAACCCCATGCTCCTAGGAGAGTGTCTCTAAACAGGAACTGAACATAGAGAAGACAACTCTTGTGATCCAGTCATTTCAGATGTTAGAAACTGTTTAATAAAAGAGCAGTGGACTCTAAGAAGGCAGCATCATGGTTTGCACAGTTTAATGTTACTCTTTAAACTGGATTCTCTTTCTTTTTCTACCAATTGGTTGAGGTGTCAAGTAACAGCCACAACCAATATGTAAAATGGTAACTGCTAATCTTATATATGTACGAATAGATATGCATTTATGTATAGGTATATACACAAATACATACGTGTATACAGTACAGCAAACGTTAGCACTGAAAACAAGGAAATCTCCTTATTCCCGATTCTAATGTTGAAATGGCAGTAAAAGCGTAAGTCCACACTCAGCCCCCACAAGAAGGGGAGCATGTTCAGCCTAGCTATAGAACGAGGCCGAGAAGAAGTGAGGACAGGCTTGCAGGGCCAGTAGTTTAAAGCAGGACAGTACTCAGAACAGCAGTATTCTGTATTGCCCACAAATTATGCACTTGTTTAAGTAAGAACATAGAAAGAACATATGTAACGAAGATTGTTCCAGTACCAATTACAAGTATGTATTTAGACACTGCAGATGCCACCTCATAACACAATCACTTCATAAAATCGGGGGTAACGAGGTTTCTGTCCTTTAACTCTTCCTCACAAGAGCAGCAAACTGGAGCAAGCCAATTGCAGCAGACATACAGAATGGAAATTTCTGTGCAGTTGGGAATTAGGATATTATGGATTCGTTTGGCTATAAAAGAGTTGCCACCTACAAATGCAATATAAACACTAGCAGTGTTCCTCAGGGCTACCATGTAGATGGGATTTAGACAGACTGGAGCATTGGATTATGATTAATGGGATGAAACTTAACAAGTTGAAATGCTGAATTCTGCACCTAGGACGGTGTAACACTGGGCACGAGTATCAACTGGGAGAGGAGTGGCTGGAGAGCAGCCCTGCAGAAAGGGACCTGAGGGTGCTGGTCGGCAGCAGGCTCAGTACGAGTCAGCAGTGTGCCCTGGTAGCCCAGAGGGCAAACCCCATCCTGGAGTGCATCAAACACAGCATAACCAGCCAGTCAAGAGAGGTGGTTATCCCGCTGTATGCAGCACTGGTGCGGCCTCACCTTGGGTACTGTGTGCAGCTCCAGGCACCACAACTTAAAAAGGATGTCAAGGTTCTTGAATGCATCCAGAGGAGGGCAACAAAGCTGGTGAAGGGGCTGGAAGGAATGTCCTATGAGGAGCGGCTGAGGTCTCTGGGTTTGTCTAGCTTGGAGAAAAGGAAGCTGAGGGGCCAACTCATTGCTCTCTACAGCTTCCTGAGGAGGGGAAGTGGAGAGAGGGGTGCTGATCTCTTCTCCCTGGGATTCAGTGATAGGATGGGTGGGAATGGTTCAAGGCTGCGCTAGGGGAGGTTCAGACTGGACATTAGGAAGCATTTCCTTACAGAGAAGGTCGTCAAACACTGGAACAGGCTTCCTACAGAGGCAATTGATGCCCCAAACCTGTCATTGTTTAACAGGCACTTGGACAATGCCCTTTATAACATGATTTAACCTTTGGTCAGCCCCAAAGTGGTCAGGCAGTTGGACTACATGAGCATCGTAGGTCTCTTGCAACTGAAAAAATATTCTTCTTTTTCCTACCTCCTCCTTTCCCTAGCAGTACTTGCTCAGGAAATCTCTGATGACATTTCTTCCCAGCCCTGCACTAGCAGAAGGGATTGAGTGAGTAATCATGTCCCAGCCTAGGCACTGGTTTTGCCGCTTTGTGGGAAGGAGGTGTGTACCTTTTGCTGGGCATAAGAGCTGTAGATCATCCTGAAATAATTTAACCATCTGAACAACTTTGAAAAAAAAATCATGCATAAAGTACTGTTTTTGAAACTCTTCTGTTTCATCCAGTTTAGCTGGGTTTCCACAGGATGGCAAAACCCCACATCTCTGACACTAGCGAGGCTCAAAGACCAAGTCCTCAGTCTGAAGCAGGACACGCTCCTGAACTAAACTGTTGCAGAACTTTTTGAGGTGAGCGATAGCTGTTAATTTCCCTGTGGATTTTTCCCTTGTACTTATTTTTAGAAATGCCTGAGCCATTTCCCTTGGAAAAACATAAAACAAAAGAGCCTGAGAACAACAGTACTCCATCATATCAAAGGTCCATCTAGCCCCATACTTGGTCTCCAAAGTCACCAACCATAAATGACTAAAGCACAACACATGAGCAGTGCAGGTCTACTACTGCCAGGGTCCTGCAGGT